TCCTGCCAGGATATTGGTGCCAAGAGCCTGACCCAAGTCCGGTGAGTGCTTCCCCTCGCTCGTGCTCTGATTAGGCCACAGCGCTGAAGTTTGGGGGGGGTCTCTGGGCAAGCTGTGCCCATGCTGTGGTGTGTTCTGCATGGTCTGGCCTTGGCAGCCCTCTTCCCTCGTCTCCAGTGGGCGCTGCGTCAGAGATGTGCCAGCCCCCGGGATGCAGGAGGGCGGTTTGGAATGTTGGGGCTGCCTTTCTCTGCCTGGCTCTTGGGAGCCCAGCGAAAACCATTCTGGCTGCAGCTGGAGTAACCAGTGTCCCTCGTCCCAGCTGCTCACATGCCAAGCACCGTCTTCCCTGGGCTCTGCCTGGCACGTGACAGGTCTCCTTCCCCCTCAGAGCCATGATGTACTCGGGAGAGCTGAAGTTTGAGAAGAGGACGACGTCTGCGCAGGTGGAAGGAGGGGTGCACGGCCTCCACTCGTAAGTGCTGCTGGCTCTTCCCTGGCAGGCAGGAGCCTTTCCTAACTGCCCCTTTCTCCTGGCCCTGGTCAGGCGGGTCAGTAAGAGAGCTCTCCGGTCTGCCGCTCCCCTCACAGGTACGAGAAGCGCCTCTTCTGAAGGAGGGCTGTCTGCATCTGTCACCGTGCCACCCTGCCCTGCGCCACCCTGTGCGGGAGCTGCTCTCGCCACAGAAGTGCCGTTACTCTGTAGGCTGCCTGGAGCTCCCTGCGTCCCTTGGCTGTGTCACCACCACCTGCAAGGGCCACCACCCACTGCCCAAGAGCAGCAATCCCGAGCTGGCGGCTGGAGCCTTGCACGCGTTGGCCATGTTTTACAATAAAAGAGGAAAACGTGCAATTGGTATCAGCCCAGAGCCCCTCTTCCTTCTGTGCTGTCCTTGTTCTCCTTCCCTGGCGCTTTCCTTCGCCTCCTGTGCCCTCAGGAGCAGCTGATGACCCCAAAAGGGACACTGCGCGTGAGGGGGAGCAGGGAGGGGACAGCCCCTGGGCAGGGCTGTGTGGATAATGCAGTGTGGAGTGTTAAAAACACCTTCTTGAGAGCAGAAAATTAGTGTCTGCTGGGCAAGAAAACAAATGGGTTTTCCAGGGCCGTTAGCTGCTGGGGGGAGCTGCCAAACCCAGGGCCTGCTGCCCAGGCCAGCTGGGGCAAGGGTGAGCACGCAGGCGCTTGTGTAAGCGTGTGCACACCCACCCACCCTGGAAACGCTCTGCCCTGCAGCTGCTGGCACACGCCAGGCCCCATACCTGTATCCTACCCTGCTCCTCACCACCCCACCCCTCTCCTTCCCTTTGTTTCCTCCCCTGAACATCCCATACTGTGGCTCTTGCCAAAGAGCATGTTTGCTGCCAGTGTTTCATGTCTCTAATGTTGTTGCCTGAAAAAAGAAAAATCACTCTGCAGCATGGTGATATCAAATTAGATTTACACACGCCAAAACCAGAGCCTTGAATTACAACATCATCTCGTCAGTGTCAAACACTCATTAGCGCAGCAGGCTCATTAAGCAAAGCCGGCCCGCGGTCTGCC